TGCCCTCCCCTCCCCTCCCTTCCCCTCCCTTTTTTTTTCCCTTCCTTTTTTTCTTGCTGTCAATGCCAAAAGCAATGATGAAAATGGCAAGATCCCTCCCAACCAGAACGAGGCCCTTGAAGCATCCAGGCTTGGGCAGTTCTGCACCTGTGTGTTTCGTGGATGCTTGGGGCAGATACAGGTAAAATGTGTTGAGGCTGTGGTGGAAGATTATTACCAACTGTTATCTTTTTATTGAGCTTGGAGGCAACCTTTACAGCAAAAGGAACTGAAGGCAGGGCATAGCTGCAAATTTGTGTCAGCTCCTGTAAATGAGACTGAGACTCCCCTTGCTCATCTCATAAACTCCTTTGAAGAGCTAGAAAAGGATTACTTTCAGTCACGGTTGACAAGTGCTGGAACCCAACTAAATGACCTAGAGGAGCCCATTAAGTGGTTTCCGATGGCTGTGCCCTCCATTTTGATTCTGGAGAATGAAAGCAGTTTAGCTCTCCAGACACTTTGCTGCACCCTGACTGCACATTAATCACCCTCCCTCTCCTGCTTTCATTACACAAAACCAGTGTGTTGCAAGTACTGCAAGCCTGCATTGCCAGATAGCTTCTGTGATGGCAGCAAACTTGTCCTAATGATCTGTACCATCTATTTGGAAGGAAATGTAGAGGGTGTGCATCAGGGACAAAGCTCTGTAAAATATTTTGTTAAGATGGTCTAAGTAAGAAGAGAAGGTTTACTTGGACTGTACAGGTGGACCCAGATGGAAATATATTTGTTTCCAAGATTGTGGCCCTTTTTTTTCTTAAAAAAACTTAGGTAAATCATGCTGTGTGTCAAAGAACTCCCTTCAAAGGTGTTTGTGGGTTTCATAGTTGTTTCTGACCTGCAGTTAGACAACACTATGTGAGTGGAGGTACTGACCACAGATTCATGCTATGAAGTGACCAAGGTACTGAGTACTGAGGGAGAGATTCACAGGCTTCAATCTTAATGCTTGCATTGCAGCTTGTGATAACTCCAAGGATGCTTGTAGGCAATTAGCTAACAGAAAAAAATACCCAACAGTTTTCTAGCATAATCTGTTTTGAATTGTTCAATAAATTCTAGTTAGGACAGTGTTTATGTCTGTCTGTCTAAGTGAGAGCTACTTGTGAGACTATTCCTTGTGATCCATCCCCCTCCCAGTCTCAAACTAGCCACTGATCTTCTCTACCCAAAAACTCCTCCACCAGTCCATTCTCTTGCACTCCCAGCCCACTGCAGCTCCTCCCCATGGGACCTGTCTACGTCCTGCAAACACAGGATACCAAGGCATATTTGAAGTCTGTAGGGCCACGCAGGAGAGCAGGGTGGGGCTGAGGGGTGGGAGAAGAGCTGGGGCTTCCCTTATACCATCAAAGGATCCGCACTGCTCCGGTTCCCTGCTGCTGTCTTCCGGAATGGGTGAAAAGGACTAATGTCCTGGAGATGGGATCCCAGTGGAGGGCATTTGCCTAATAGGCAGTGTGGTTGGTTGGCAGGTATTCAGTGGTATCGGACACTGATACAGAGAGCATCTTCATGGAGCCAATCCATCTGTCGTCTGCTGTGGCTGCCAAACAAATAATCAATGAAGGTAAGAAGAGGAAGGGTAAAAGAACTATGTAAGTAATAGAGACTTGAGTTGCCCTTGTTTTGCCTTTGTCATCCAGAGATCCTAAAATGATAAAGTCTTTATGAGAAAACCCCACCTGAGGTAGAGGTGAAAACTGCAAAGAATAACAATTTACAGAAAGGTTTGGTGACTTCCTTTGAAGTTGTGCACTGAATCTGTGGCAGAATCGTGTACCACAGTGGTGAATAGAGTTTGATTGCTTGTTGTTCACTGCAACAAACTGAATAGAATAGAATAGAATAGAATAGAATAGAATAGAATAGAATATTTTAGTTGGAAGGGACCTACAATGACCATCTAGTCCAACTGCCTGACCACTTCAGGGCTGACCAAAAGCTAAAGCATGTTATTAAGGGCATTTTCCAAATGCCTCCTAAACACTGGCAGGCTTGGGGCATCAACCTGCTCTCTGGGAAGCCTGTTCCAGTGTTTGGCCACCCTCTCGGTAAAGAAATGTTTCCTAATGTCCAGTCTAAACCTCCCCTGGTGCAGCTTTGAACCATTCCCACGTGTCCTATCACTGGATACCAGGGAGAAGAGATCAGCACCTCCCTCTCTACTTCCCCTCCTCGGGAAGCTGTAGAGAGCAACTACATTCTTTTGGGGCTAGAAAGAGCGTGCCCTTAACTCCCAGGCCTTTGGCCAGTGTGGGTCTCTGGACTGAGAGGACAGTGCAATATGCTCTTCCCATTACTAACTACCTTGAGGCTGCTAGATAAGCATGTACACGCACACATTGCAGACAGGACGGTGTGATGTTACTGGGGAAAAAAGCAAGCCACGAGGCTTGTCCCAGGAACAAAGGATGACAGGTCATATATTTGCTTTGGTTTTACATGCTTTTAGTTACAGTGTCAGTTTATTCCAGAACTGAAGACAAAGGACACCACGGTAGATTCAGCGTGTCCCAGGATGTTAGAGTCTGCGCAGCAATTGATGGTGGAAGACCTGTACAACCGAGTTAAGGAAAAGATTGATGACACCAGCTTGTTTAACACGCCGTGTGTGATGGACTTGCAGAGGGCACTCGTGAAGGACAGGCTGGAGACCCCCAGGGATGCTGTGGATGAAGTCTGGCCTAATGTCTTCATAGCAGAAAAGTGAGTGTCAGCTTTTGTCATCAAGTCGCACGAGATTCCCAGTGAAGCGTCAGATGGAACCATTGAAGGCATAACATGTACTACATGCATCTAATACCTTTCATCCCTAGAGAGCCCCAAAGTGTTTTTCAGAATATGCTCACAAAGATCTCTGTGCACTGAAAAGTAAATACTTCTGGAATAGTATCAGCAGCTTTCCTATGCTATTTTGATGCTTCGACAGTTTAGGAGAGGAAAAGGCAAATGAGCCCAAATTACACTGTTCTGACTGGAATTTGGCCCTGAAATTGGGACTAAAGTCTTTGTTATGTAAAAGAGAGTTAAAAAATAAATGCCGTAGCAAGTATTGAGTGGAAATGGTTAGGTCTTCTGCACCATGGCTCAGCTGTCTGAGACACCTGTGCAAGTGACCAGAAAAGAATTAGGAGGGGATATAGTGTAAAACATAATTCGGAGTGATAAAAATTGAGAAATAAGTAAACAGCCTGAACCTAGGATGGCAGGATGAGTTTAAAATCAAGCTGGCGTGGAAATTGAGCATGCAGCTCTACTGGTGAGTGCAAGTTTCTCATTTTCTTTTCCTGGTGAATATTGGAAAGAAATACCTGTAGAACTCTCAAAGGACATTACGGTCTGAGCGGAGCCACGTGCTGGATGAGTAACACAGACGTGGAGCTCTGTAGCGCTGTTAGCAGACAGCTTCTTTCCTACGCAAAATAGGAGCACTGATACCTAACTTCTTTCTTTCTTTTCTGAAGAAGTGTTGCAGTCAACAAAAGCCGTTTGAAGAGACTGGGGATCACGCATGTCTTGAATGCAGCTCATGGTACAGGCGTATACACAGGACCAGGTTTCTACAACGGTCTGAATATCCAATACCTGGGCATTGAGGTGGATGATTTTCCAGATATGGATATCTCCAAACACTTCCGCCCAGCTGCAGAGTTCCTTGACGAAGCACTGCTGACTTACAGGGGTAAGAGGAGAAGATTACAGTGGTTCCAGAATGCTTGGGAATTAATGGGTGGAAGCGTTACTCTGATAGACAGACGATGCCACATTTGTAATTGGGTAGAAGGCAGATACTTTGCTCTTTGCAGCCAGTTACGGTGAACACTTCTTGCCCATTTCTGCCATGCCTCATTCGAAACAGGAGGGGGCAAACTAGTGAGAGGAGGCAGCCCAGCAGCCCCCGCTGCAAGCCCCACGTTTTCGGACTCAAACTGGCTGTGAGCCACCTCCCTCAGCTGCTTTGAAAATACCCTCCTATTGCAAAGAGGTGAAGCCCCGCTCCAATAAATCAATCTTTTTATATCGATATTATATAATACTATATAGAGATATATTCCTGTACACTGTGAGTTTCAGTTTTGCCAGGATGCTTACTGCAAAAGAACAGGCTGACTTACCTGAACAATCCAGACAGCTGGGTTGAACCCCTGGATGTCTACACCCCGGCTACTGTATAATTTGCTGGACTCCGATGCCATGGCAACTGTTATTCTGTGGACCGCCAGTGCATACTGGTCATTTTGTTGCAGCTTCAGTGGACAGTTAGAAATATCTTTATGGAATTCAGTACGAAAATGAACACCGCATTCAGTGATATCACTGACATTCTTCATATATGTATTCAATGCATTTAATTTTTGTAGAGTGACAACAGGTTACCTCCTAGTAGAAGTGGCAGTAAGAAAAGTGAGAAGTTTTGTTAGTACGCAAGAAAAGCTGAGCCAATTTTAATAGCTCACCACCACCAACACGAGGAGGGACACTCTACCCACCTATGTTCTTCCTCATAACTCCCATTGCTACCCTTGGCACAGTACAGATGCTTACTGCTGCTGGCATTCATCAACCCTTCAACTCGCTAACCCAGCAAAAACAACAGCCCAGCAGGGAAGAGGTGGTTTTCCATTGGGTTAGTGAGCTGAACTGGCTCATTAAAGGGCCCGGTGAGCACCAGAGCTGACACGGGAAAGGATGCAGGGAGACAGAGGAGCCTTGGAAGAAAACAGAGGAATGAGATCTCTCCCTTTTGGTGAGCTGTTAGATAGGCTTTACTGGCTGCTAAAACACTCGGAAGGCAACTGAGACTTGATACTAAGAAAGGTGTAAAAGACATTTCGGGATTGTAGGAATAGATACATTAGGTAAATACTTATGGTAACATATCAGCAGTCAGAAAGGTGGTGTTTAAACTGGCTTCATTAAGTTTCAGTGCAAACAGTTTGATTAAACTGGAGTTTATCACACATTTTGAAACGTAATTTCAGTTATTTGCAGGCTAGCAAAGCCTCATTTAAGCTCTCTTCATATTTACAAGCTTTTCTTTAACTGTAATTTGCCATAAAAATAAAAAACAATTCTTCTGTGCCAAAGCTTAGTTTTCTGCATTCTGTGTAAATGCCATGAAATAAAGCAGATCCTCAGCTTTGATTCTAGCTCTTGCAGTCACTATTTACAGAACGGTGGGTCCCAGTAATTTGGAGCAGCTGTATCAGTTTGTCAGAGTCAAAATCAGCTCTCTTCTGCTAGTTGCTTGGTTCTCCTGTTCTCAGATGTACTATGACTCTGGTCTTCAGCCAGTCTATGTGTAACTGTTTGAGTGTACCTTGCAAAACTGCAGATCTGGATTCTGGCAAAAAATATAATTAAATTAGTATAAAATTGTATTTAAGTCCCATAATGTGCTTTATAAAAAATTAAGTTATTTGCTTATCCTCCCAATACCTTCCTGGAGGCTAATGCTAGAATCTCCCTTTTTACATATGGGGAAACTGAAGCATGGAAAGCTTAATTCTCTTACCCTAAGTCAGCCAGCAAGTCAAGAATACTGTATCACTTGTCTTTCTAATACCTATTATAAATTTTTGATTATTTGGGGAAGTGAAGTGTATAGGTGAAAATACAAATATTATTTAGATTGTTTTAAAATGTGCCTGCCCACAGCTTTTGAAACTAATGTGGTTATTATTCATACGTATCTAGATTTTTATTAAGACAAAGCTAACAAATAATTAGTATTGGTTTCAGTCACTGAAGCATATAATCTGTCTAATTTTTAACACTATTCAGAGAATGCTTTTGTGCTACATATCAGAGCAACCTCATGTTGTTATTTGAAATAGCTAATTACTTTTATATTCAATATCTGTAGGCAAAATCCTTGTCAGCAGTGAAATGGGAATCAGTCGCTCAGCTGTGCTGGTGGCTGCTTACCTGATGATCTACCACCATATGACCATTCTGGAGGCTCTGATGACTCTAAGAAAGAAGCGTGCCATTTACCCCAATGATGGCTTTCTGAAGCAGCTAAGGGAGCTCAACGAGCAATTGTTAGAGGAACGAGAGTTGGAGCATACTGGAGACGAAGAAGTCACTCCTAGTCAAAGTCCTGTTGCCCATGCAGGGACTTCTTCCCAGCTGTCTGGAGTTGGGGACTCAGAAAGCATCATGGGAGCCAAAGCCCACTCCATCACAGTAGAAGAAGAGGACACCAGCAGCCTGCTGGGTAGTCTTATGAGCTCTTCATCAGCGGGAAAAACTAGCTGGGTTTCCAAACACTCCACCCTCATCAGTGAGGAGGAAGAGGAACAGCTGTATAAGGAATGGAGGAAGAAACAAGGCCTGCCTGCAAAGGAACCAGGAGTTAACCATGGAAAAAGAACTTCTCCAAAGCTTCTGGATCAGGAAGGGGAACAATCTGAGGAGGATGTGGAACAGAGGATCCATGACTGGCAGTGCAGAAATGAGAAATACCAAATGGAGGGTCCACCCAGGGAGGAGGATGGAGATTCCAGCATGGGAGGAAGACCTTACCCATCAGGTGAATTCAGTGATGTTGAGAGTGTGAGCAGTTTTGAGATCCGAACCCTAAAGCAACAGTTGGAAGCCAGTAGCTTTAGCAGGATGAGGAGGAGCCGCACAGGCTCTATGTCTTCAGAGAGCACTTGGGACATGTGGAACCAAAGGCTTCTGGAGATTGAGAAGGAAGCTGCTCAGAGGTATCGTTCTAAGAATAAAATTGGTGGGGAGAGACAATCCCCAGAAACAGGAAGAAAGGAGAGGGATGAGGACGAGGAGAGCGTGTTTTCAGACAGTAGCTCCTTTTACAATTTCTGCCAAAAGAACAAAGACAAGTTGACTCCTCTAGAAAGGTGGAAGGTCAAGAGAATCCAGTTTGGCTTTCACAAGAAGGATTTAGAATCATCATCATCTTCTGCACCATCTCCAGCAGAAGATGGCAGCCAGGCAGGTGGGGAGGGGACAGAAGGGAAGAGTTTGTCAGATATTAACCTGACTGCTTACCAGGCTTGGAAAATGAAGAGGCAGAAGAAGGTGGGCAGTGAAAGCAAGGAGGAATTTGTGGAGTTTGCCAAAAGTGAGGATTCTGCTTCAGCCAAAAAGAAGCAGAGGCGTGTAGAGCTCCTTGAACATTCAAAGAAAATTTTAGAAGAAAGCCAGTCCATGTGCAGCTGGGAGACAGACAGTACGATGAGTGGGAGTATCCCACTGTCAGCTTTCTGGCCCTCAGCACCTTCTGCGGGCGGTGCCGAGGATACAGCTTCTGCACTGAGCATGCAGACAAATCATTCATCTTTGTCACAGACCAGGAGCAGCACGGGGGCAATGCAGCCTCAGATGCCAAGTATACCTCTTCCCAATCTCCCAGTTGGCCCAGGTGACACAATATCCATGGCAAGCATTCAGAACTGGATCGCTAATGTGGTCAGTGAAACCATTGCTCAAAAGCAAAATGAGATCATGATGCTGTCCCGTCCATCGTCTGCAATGGCCTCCAGCGTAATGTCAGGAGACCTTGGCAGGCGTGTAGATGATGATAAGGTTTCTCTTCTCAGTGCTCAGAGCGGCTCATCTCTTGCTACCTCTCAGCTTCGCCAGCAGGACATGCAGAGGGCTGAGTCTCAGTCTGTCCTGTCTTGCAATACCTCAGTGAGCGCAAGGACAGAAGGACCGAGTTTAAACATGAAGACAACACAGACAAGCAAGCCACTGTACAGCCTCTTTGCTGATGAGGTTGACCTAAAGAAACTCAGGAGGAAGGAGAAGGAGATGCAAATGGAAATGAGAGAGAAAATGTCAGATTATCAAATTGAAAAGGTAATCAGAGACAATAAACGCAGCACTTTATTTAAAAAGAAGATGACCAAAGGAGAGGAAAATGAAATAGAAGATGACAGAGAGAGTACAACAAACAGCCACAGGTGCCCCTTGCAAGCAGATCTTGACAGAACTGATACAGTCTTTGATCTGTCCAGTCAACCTGCAAACACAAGTGCAGCAAAATCAGAGATAGAGACTGATATTACCAAGTGGCTCAGTGGCCTGAGAGCAGGAAGAGAACCACCATCATATTACGATCAAAGTGAGAAGGCTAGAGAGAAATATAGCAGATCATCCAAAGTTAGAGAGATGGATTCTGAAACATCCAGTTACAGATTTTCCAGATCCCAAAGAGAAGAGCTAGACAGCTGTTCTTCCTACGAGTCAAAAGGAGATTCACTGAGAACCATGTCAAGATTTTCCTCTGCTTCTGCAAAAGAGGACAAAAAGATGTATAAGTTTACAAGGTCAAGGGTCAGTGAGACAACAAGTCCCAGAGAAGAGAGCCCAGAGCTGCATGTTTTCAGCCGAACACCTGAGCCATCCTTTGACTCTGAATCCCCTGAACCATCGACACAGAGTCGAGCTAGATCTCATCACGTGGAGGCGTGTGAAGAGGAGGCCAGGTCAGACATGTCAGAATTTGGAGCTAAGAGAAAGTTCACCCAGAGCTTTTCAAAGTCTGAAGAGGATGGAAAGAAGGAGGCAAAAGTGGAACAAACTGAAGAAAGATTTGCATCTAGACAGTTCTCTCAGTACAGGCGAAGCATGCGTAAAGAAGAGGAAGAAGAGATGGATGATGATGCCATTATCGCTGCTTGGAGAAGCCGACTAGAAGAAACTACGGCAAAGCTCCGGCGGCGAAGGGAAGAGTGACCAAGATCAGATTAGAGGAACACAAGCAGAGCCACAGAGTCCCCGAATCACTCATCATTATATTTCTGATAATCCTTTGTGGTTTGTAGGGCATTTCCTGCAGATAGTTCTCTTCTTAATCAAAAGCGATAAAGGGAAGAGGTCAAGTTTTGGAAGTGTTTGTGGTTTGTCAGAAAGAAGATGCTGGTATTAAATGATCAATGTAGGTAGGAACACAATGTTAGAAGCCATTAGGAGCCAGACGATGTTTCAGCAGCAAAAGCAAGTAATGGTGGCACCTCAATTCAAAAGACCAATCACATCCCATTTTGGTTATTTCAATTTCCTAGCCTCGTTAAAGACTGGACATATTTTTTCTAGGATCTTTTTGATCATAAATGGAAGAAGCCAACAGCCTTTTCTAGGAACTTGAAGAATGTTCCTCTCTTAATCAGTTTTACTTTCTACCACTGAGAAGATACTGCCAGGTAGGCTCCATTTTCTGCACCAGTCTTATGAATGTCTACAGAAATAAGACAGTTCAGGGGAATACATGTACTGTTTTACTTCACTAAGTAGCAGAAGCAAAGTGAAATAGAAGAAAGAAGATGCCTCCTTCTTTTTAGAAGTTCAATGCAATAATGAATGTATTCCTGTGGTACCATTGTTTTCTATTAGATGGAGTCATCTCT